AGCTAGAACGACTGGAGTGGCTGTTGTCGGGTGAGGTGGTATCTGACAGTCGCAGAACCGGGGGAGGTAGAGAACGGGACTGTCTCCGTGAGCGGTGGTGCGAGGGCCAGCCGTCGCGCTCGCGCGACCGTCGTTTAGAGCGATGTCCTCACCGGCGGCTGCGGCGTGAGGGGGGGGGGGGGAGCTGGCAGGGAAGGGGGAGCTAGAAGAACAGTCATAGCCAGAGGCCGTCGCAGACTCTTGACCCGAGGCCGTCGCAGACTCTTGGCCTGAGGTTGTTGCAGAGTCTCGGCCAGAGGCCATCTCTGACGCTGACGCCGTTGCCAGCGACTGCAGGTGGACGTGGAGGCGCGTCTGTTTCGTGCCCGTGGTCGATAGAGAAGCTGCCTGCAACCGTTCCTTGATCTCCGCGACCGGGAGCTTTCCTATCCGCCAGAGAGCAGGTGGACCCCTCGAAGCCATTGTAGCCTTCCTCGATAGGGCTTAGCCCTTTTCAGGCTGCAGCACCTGAGCCCCACCCTTCTTTGTGCATGTGTTTACCTATGCCTATGTAAACTGTATTATTATATGAAGACCACATGTAGTTTGAAAAAGCCTCAGGCAATTTTCTTTAAAACTACTTCTGCACACTTGCTAACTGTAGCACGTATGGAGGTGAAACTTGGTGCACATGCATAATACATCGTTTCAATGACAACTACAACAACAAATAGCCTCAGACACTTTTCTTTAAAATTACTTCTTCACTCCTCAAACTAGGAGGTGTAACTTGGTGTGCATGTGGATTACATCGTTTCCATGACGACCACAACAATAAATAGCCTCATGCACTTTTCTACTTCTTCACTCCTCAAACTTGCTAACGGTACCACGCATGGTGATGAAATCTTGGTACACATGTGCGTAACATCATTTCCAGGACAACCACTTTGTTTGAAGAACAACAAATAGCCTCAGGCAATTTTCTTAAAAAATACTTCTTCACTTCTCTAACTCACCAAAGGTAGAACGCATAGAGAAGAAACAGTATTACATCATTTCCATGACAACTACATGTTTCTATGACGACTACATGTTCAAATAGCCTGAGGCACTTCTCCTCAAACTTGGTAACGGTAGCACGCATGGAGATGAAACTTGGTATGTATGCCATCCCTATCCTGTCTCCCTTTCTTTTTATACCATCCCTATATTCCTCTTTTTTTTAAATCGCAGAATATTTTAATTATACTTGTACACTTTCTTCTATGTCATCTACGTAGTCATCAATTTTGCCATCAGCCCTCAGGCATTACATCAGAGTGACAACATATCCCATGGCCCAGGCAACAATGTTACCGTTGACATAGTGGCTACCTTGTTTAAGTTATTCTGTCAAGGGGAAGCCCAGGCAGCTGAACTACTCTTAGATCACTTGACAATAAAGTGTGCCACGTATGGATTACTTCTTCCTGTTCATTTACTCTATTAGGCAACAAATAACATTGAAGTTGCACACCACTTAATCAGGCTCCCTCAGCTTAGTGACTAATTCTGGAATTTAAGGCTTTTACCGCTGAATAATGAACAATGAAGCTTAGCAGGTCCTCGAAGACAACAGTACAGTTCTTGTCATTTAATACATATGGCAATGGTACGCACCAATAAGAGATAAAGCTACCCCCGAATTGGTGTGTTTTTCACTCATGGCGCAGAGAAGTTGGTCCGTCAGTTGTAAAACAGCAAACAGCAAACAGCAAACAGCAAACATTCAGAGTTTACTGAGGAGCTTGTATAAAGCATAATGCATTATACATCCTAGTCACCCCTTGACCTATGCTTAAAACTTTGGTATAGGCCTATTTCATGGATTAAAAGCACTTCTATCAATAGGACACTGAACAAATTCTCAGAGCCAGGAACGTTCAGCTACAATGTTCTGCATACACCCCAGATGATGCATGGGCAGAATGTCCTGTCCTACTTCACGGGTGAATGACAGGGTAAGAGAAAATCAGCAGGGGGTAAAAACGCCAGTCCCGGAATCTGCAACCACAGACGAACACTAAAATATGATGAAGCTGGGTTCTTAAGTGGTATTACACACGGCATGAGTTGTACCGCTTCCACATTCCACCCTTTATAGTGCTGTGCTGCTATCCTGATAGATCAGTATCTACAGCCATATACCAAGATTCCTAACTACGACCATCGCCTCTTCCTAAGGCTGGATATACACGTGCAAATGTACCAACCAGTATTGTGGATGGAAGGAAACGCAGCCATGCCAGTTCTCAGCTAAGGTGCTAAACATGAGAGAGTCTGTAGTGCCTTAATTTGATGGCCACAGAGAAGTCTTGTGGTTCTCCCAACAAGTTGGCTACTTTCCCCTCTCTCTCCCTAAGGTAAACTTTAACTAACTAAATCTCAGTACCATACTCATCTTCTGTGACCCCACCGGATGGAATTAGCCGACGTAAAAAAATCCCGTATTACCCTTCTATCGCTACAACATGATAGACAGAGTTGGGTTGCTATTGCAAGCTAGCTGAGGTCTGGCTTGCTAGACTTGGCCAATATGGCTGCTTCATTCTTCCACCAGAGTTCACTAAAACAGTTTTCTGCCTATACTATATGACCCTCATGTCCAATACTTAAAATCTCAGCTATATCCCCTCAGTAGGAATACAAACTCTGAAGTGGGGTTCCCCTGTAACCATTACTGGCACAGTTGTGTTATGTAAACCACAAAGGGCACATAACGTCAGAACTGTCCCAACAAATCTCTTTCTTCCTCTACAACCAGCAGACCCCCAGTCAACCATGAGAGCAAACCTGGACTCTAAGCTGCTGGTGAGTCAGTGACATCCCTGTTAGAGGGAAGCAGAGCCTTTCGTAGTTAACGTGTGCCCAGAATGCTTCCCTCCTACTCTTTCCTTTTTAAGGGCAATCCCAGCTGCAGTGGGAGACAGGCTATCCTCCACACCCTGTGCAACAGCTCGTTGGCCAACCAGCTCAGGTGATACAATGTTAGGCACGATGAGTCATTTACAACCATGTCTTGCAAAAGCACATGAATACCAAGCAATCACTTCTTTGTTGACTCTAGCATAGGAAGACAAAATGAACACAGGTCGCTTCTCCCCCTTGATCAATATGGAGCCCAGATGCCTAGTCACTCTGCCTCTTAAGACCGACAGAAGAAACTCTCTGAGAAAGCTTGAGTCTTTTAGAGAATAATCAACCCTGTGGTTGTAGTATATAGGGGCAAGCTGAATTAGCCTGACTGTGTATGATGGCACAGTGATCGTTGGGAAGTCCTAGCATGGCAAAAATACTGTACGGGCAATGTAATAGGTTTTGATGTGTTATTGCTAAAAAAACTGAGTATAGCACTGTAATGTATGTGCATGCATGACAATTTCCTGTGTACGTCATTTCCATTAACATGTGTACTTAAGTGTGTTTGCTGTATGGAATGATCAGTTGTTGAGTGGCGCGTGTTGGGCAGCCTCAGGGAATTCAACCCCAAGACCGACAACATCGTACATCGAACGACTATTTTGAGGCCAACAACGTGGAGGCTGATGGAAAGGTTGCTGTTTTCCTAACCGTCATAGGAGCAAAGGCGCATGAGACGTTACGCAGTCTCTTAGCACCAGTGCTACCTAGAGAACTCACTTGAACAACTCCTAGAGGTACTAACAAAGCACTTCGACCCCCAGCAGTTAGTCATCGGCGAACGTTTCCATTTCTACCAGAGATCGCAAAAAGAACAGAGATTCAATCGCGGACTTTACCGCTGCTCTACGCCGGCTCAGTGTTCAATGCGGATTCGGAGCCTTCCTCGAGCAAGCGTTGAGAGATGGTTTCATTTGTGGAGTTAGGAGCGAGGCTATTCAGAATAAATTGCTCACAGAGCCAGACCTGACGATAAAGAAAGCGCAGGACATAGCGCAGAGCATCGAGTCGGCCGACCTCAATGCGAAGGATATCAAGGGGGACGCTTCACCTCAAAGTGAGACCATAAACGCCTCATCGCCGCCAGCCGTTCAGGAACGTGAGAAAGAAGGGACCTGCTATCGCTGCAGTCGCAATCACAATCCCAAGACCTGCAAGTTAAAAGAGCCAGTTTGTCACAGGTGTCACAAGCGTGGTTACATGGCGCCCGCCTGCAGGTCCAGAAGCCCGCCTCCTATTGACAAAAGGAAGGGAAGGTCCAACCGCAAGCCAGCCTCAAAAAAGTGGATGACAGTGGCGGAGGAGTATGAGGAACCCAGCCCATGTTTGTTCTTGAGGGAGAAACTCCTCAACCCTCCATACCAGTCAGAATGTATTTGAATGTTCTCCGGTTGATTTGAGTTGGACACTGGTGCAGCAGTGACTGTGATGTCTCAAGCCCAGTTTCAACACCAGACCTAAGCCTTTATCCTCCGTCAGTGATTTACACTGCAGAAATCATGAAGACCGTGGGTTCGGTAGATGTTAAGATTACCTACAAGAACCAACCCTCTCGTTGGTCATCGTCGAAGGCCATGGGCCAGCACTACTGGGACGCAACTGGCTCAAATACTTTCGATTGGATTAAGACAGTTGTTGAGAGCGATGGGTTGCGACAGTTACTGCAAGAGAACGAGGACTTATTCACTGATGAGTTAGGCACCATCACGCCTATCCGAGCAAAGCTGGAAGTATCCCCTTCAGCTACACCCAAGGTCCAACGCACACGGCCAGTTCCATATGCGGTCAAACCCCTCGTGGAACAGGAGTTGGATAGGCTAGAGAAAGCAGGAGTCATAGAAAGGGTCGATGGTAGTGAGTGGGCTGCGCCCATTGTGACAGTATTAAAGCGAGAAGGACGGGTGCGGATATGTGGCGACTATGAGGTCACCGTAAACCCAGTGGTCGACATTGATCAGTACAATTTTGTTGTTGTTTTCAGTAAACAACATTCTTAAAACAAAAAAGTACCCACAGTCTCTTCACATTACGGATACTTACGTTCCTTTCATGTCCATACATCATTTCATTTTTGAGCCTTTCGTCTTGAAGAAGAAGAAGGTGAACCAACTCCCTATCAAAGCCCCATACATCTATGATGCTAGGTACCATGCCCATCCTTATACACTACGCCCTACCGTGATCAATCGTATCACTGTATCACACACAAAAGTTTATTCCTGTCTCGTCTTGGCTCCCTTCTTTTATACCATCCCCAGTTTGCACGCTGATCAAAGGTGCCAGCAAGGCTAGTAGTTCCACATATACATCACTTTGTGCTGTGGACACGTATGAAACATCATTAGCAACCGTGGTAACGGGTCTATTAACAATTAATATCGTTGTAACACATCATTGTATAAATCTTTGGTGGGGCTGAATCAACTACAGATGAAAACGGCTTACTGTTTGAAATCTATAGTTCTACAATGGTGAAGTTGTCATGATTGTGGCCCACTACATGAGGTGAATCACACCCGGAACTTGAAGCGGAGTTATGAAACCAAAGACAGGGTGGTTACGACCGCCGCCCCCAGTGAAAATGATGCTACAAGCATGCAATCGAGTTTAGCAAGTTCTTGGTTGTTCTATCAGCCTGCCACAGCCGACTTTCTATAAGCGGGGTTGGAAACATTATACTCCACGACTTACACTACTTATTTCTGGCCAACCCTAGGAAACACGTGCTTAACCCTTAGCCAGCCACAGGCATAATATATATGTATAAGTCCATACATGGGTATAATACTAGGCGTTAATACGTATCTTATACATCAATTTATGCTTATTTAAGGAGATACCCATGGCATCCAAAGGGTTTAACTTATACCTGTTGGAGATGTCTTCTGCAATCCACAATGTCTTGGGAAAATGCTTCGGTCCGCCATGAATTCAAACACTAACGCTTTTTATGCCACCGCATTTAAAGCAGCTATACCAGGCTGGTTATGGGTTTGCATTGGTGAACTTGAGCGTGTAATTGATATGCCACCTTGACCGGCTTGTTACAATTTTATCATAGAAAATTTTACTTGCACAGACACACCAAAGTTTGTTAAAAATGTGGTGGGATGGGTAATTCGCTGGATGCCTAGGAATCACACACTCAATACTTACTCGGTTATTTCTCCATATAAACAGAAGAGTTCCAATAATTCTTTAGTAACACCAAGCGCGTGTACATTCTGAACTAGTAAACACTTGCTTTCTAGATTCACTGTGTAAACCTGCAGTTAACAAATAATAATGTACTGAAGCACAGTCACACCTGAAATTGAGTTTAAGGGTACAAGTAAATAAAAAACCCCAAGGTTAAAAAAAAAAAGTGGAATATAGGGATGGAAGAGGAATATTATAGGGATGGTATAAAAGGAGATAGGGATGGGATACATGAAGCATGGTTAACTGAATCATTGTATAACTGTTTTGGAGTCCGGCATGCACAAAACATGAGAAAGTGTAAATTGTTTCAAAGGCCCTAGGGGGCGAACACTATCCAATAGCGTTCCTCGATGGTATTCCTCTTTGTACTTAGTGTTCCTCCTCATCCTACAGAGGATAAATCGGAGATGAGATTTCAACCAAGTTAAGATACAGACCTATAAAGTGTGATGCCAATACTTACAATGATAAAACTTGGTATACAGAACTTCCTGACTGAAACATTACTAATCAACAACAAACTGCCTCAGGAAATACCCAGTTGTAAATTGTTTTTCGTGCCTACAACTTGCTTATTTAACAAAGAAACTTGGTACACTGATGTTCTATGATACGAGTACATCAAAGCCGAAACAAAACTGTGTTAACTGTGTTTGTGCCAATAACTTTTATGCTGGGTCCTGTAACAAACTTTGTACACTGATGCATTATGATAAGAGTTTTATAAGAGTTCACGTTTCTAAACAGCAACACCAGCCCTCAGGCAAGAAAACTTCCTATAACTTGCTTATGCTGGGTCCTCCAAAAAATAAAACTTGTACACAGTGATAGTACATCAAAACTTGATGAACCACAACAGCCTAAGGCAATAAACCTTGGCACAGCTAAGTAGCTGTGTACATTTTGCTATTGTATACAGACTAGGCGCAAAAGTGCATGCTTCAAAGGATCACTAAGTATGGTTGTACTTAATTAAGGCATGGTATCTACCATCATAGATGTATGGGGGTATAGGGAGTTCTGTTCTTCTTTGATTCGTTTAACTCAAACAACAAAATACAGTAAAAAACTCTATAACCCGAAGAGAATAGGCATTAGAGAATGTTTTGTTTACGGCAAACAACAAAAGATTGCCACGGCTCATACATTATAATGGGTATGCATGTATAAGTGTAACTAACAAATGGTAAGAGTTATGTTGGTTTGAAAGTTTACACATAATTTATTCCATCACAAACAAAAAAAAACAATACATATTTGTAAACAACAAAAATAGCTTTCACCTGTGTTATCAACAAACCTCTACACATCATCTACCAAGTGAAAGTCTAGTGTATTAAAGATTTTCATGTTTTTACAAATTTATATTTATTTCTATTAGCTTGCTCCAGCTCTCTGCTTCACCGGCAAACAGCTGCATAGACATGCTTCATTTGAGTAGAAGGCCATTGTTGACATTTTCAGGGATAAATAGAGATGCCTGCATAACTAACGTAATGCTGCATTCTGGTTAACCACATCTAGTGACCCCTGAGGAGCTTCGGTATTCGATATCTATGATGAAATGTTTAACAAAGACCAACACAAGTTCTAGGGGTACCCGGCCAAGAAATTGCCTCCAGATTTAATAGAAATGAATTTAAATACATGCTGGATCACACGGCCATGTCTACAATCCTTTAGGAGAATATAGTTGAGCTATGAAACAAACAAGGCAAAGTGCATGAAAATTCTCCGAATGAAGTATGGAATATAGTGATGCTAAAGCAATGGTAACCAGACAGAGATGACATAGAAGTGAAATAGCTTGCTTATGCACATTTTCCACCACACAAACGTAACCACTTACCGACTTATTTAAATTATTCCCTGAGGATGTCTGTTGCAGTTTACAACCCTTTGTGTCACCTTGCATGGCTGGATCAATAGTGCCGGCACGCACTTTAAATTGTATAAAGTACCAGCTAGCTGTGATTTATATAAGCTTGAAACTACGAAATCCAAAAACCAACTGCCCAGCTACACATGCAGCTGCCTAGCGTTTGTTAACCTTGGCGTTTTAGGGGCAGAGGGGAGGGTGTGAGCCAGCGTCCACTAACATGCATTCTACGTTGGAAAATGCAGCAGTGGTGTGGGACAATCTCCCAAAGGAGGTCTGAATAATTTGGCCCATACATCAAGCAGTACTCCCGGGGTGATCCCCAAGTCTATATAACCACCAGCGGAAGCAGCATCTGATAGTAGATCCAACCAACAAGAGTGTCAATGATGGTATCAATGTGTAGCTCTGCCCTATGCACTATCTGCGGCTGGATATATAAGTAGTCCAGTGCGGAAAGGGTACCTTTCTGGCCAAAACAGACATAGAAAGTGCCTAATGGATGTCCCCAGTACATCCTAGGGCAGGCCCTTGTTAGCAATGAAATAGGCTGGTCAGGTGTTTTTGACGCCATTTCACCCCCAAGCAATGCTGATGCCCTCCAATTGATGTTCAAGAAACAGGGAGTCTCATATGTGGAACACTATCTCAATGACTCTTGGGCCACCTGACCAATAGTTCAATACGTCTCTGCTCCCCCCACTGAGCAACAGGGTTTGAGGCACAAAATGATTACCTTACTGCCGCATGTCACATGCAGATGGAGTGAAGAGGGGGAGACTTTAAGGTGGCAAGCATGTCCTTGCTGTAGCTCACACTACGTGAAGAAAAGGGAACAGGCAGGTGGAAGAGTGGATCGAGTCACCACAGCGACAGCGACAGCGTGCGGTGTACCATGTTACATCATAAAACTCTGGGGTGGTGGAAGAGTGAAGCGTACCAGCTGTACGTCAGACTTCCCTGCATCATCGATCAGCTAGTTGTGACACTGCAGACTAGTGTCAGGATTGGTAGGTTCAGCTCTAGAGGTTGATCTGTTTTGAGTATAGTTCGTTCCTATGGCTTAGGTAGCGGCTGCGCCTTGGATGTAGGGTGTGGCTAAGCGGTAGCCACACCTCGCCCCTAAGGGTAAGGGTAGGGGGCACCCACATGTTGGACTCCCTTCCCCGGTGGGGTAACACGAAAAGGAGGCATGGCGACCGGCTGCCGACTCACCTACCAGCAAGGAGGCATGCTCCCAGTAAGGCATGAGCAGTCAATAACCCCTTAGTCAGCAGGTAGGGAGGTAAATGCGAAGTCTGGGGAGACTAATGGTGTTGTATTTGGCAGGGTCAGTACACTGGTATAAGTGAGCATAGGTTCATGATTACAGCAAAGCTCTAAGGAGTTGGTTAATGCAGTGTTACTTAGCATGTAACTTAGAGAGCCTAGGATGGAGGAGCTAGGATAAAGACAGTATCCGCGTATGCACATAGTTTGATTCTAGGTTAAAGTTCACCGTGGACATGCATGAGGAATAACCTCACATAGAGAGGTGCACAGGAAGGAGAGCCAGGCTTGAGTGACAGGGCATGAGCAAGCCTCCTTCCCATTTAAAGTGGGTGTGTCTGTTCTTTGTATATACACTTCTGTGATCTCTGCATTCTGAAGCAGTCAGTTGGTTTACCTATGATAGGAGCCATGCCTGGGTGTAGGGTTAGGCTAAGCCACACCTTCTCTCCCCCCCTGTATTGAGCAGTTACGTCATTCAAGAGCTTATTAGTAACACAATTTAGTTTATTTCCTTCACACAAGCCATTGCCACCACTCTTACTCAGGACACAGGTGTGTTTTTGTTAATGATATAGTGTGGGGACTGATAATTCAGCATCATAAAACACATTTTTTGAGCCAACATGGATGTCTTAAACCATGCGGTGAGAACTAAATTACTGAGGAACTAATGAAAAGCACTAAAGTGCAAACCCTCGGCGCTAAACGCGCGAGTTGTAGCATCGCTGTATGCTGGGCCATGCATCATCGACGGAGCCAGTAACACGAGTCTCACCTAGTTGCATTAGACGGTTAGTGCAATTGCACAGGTGTTTCAGAGGCTCTCTATCCGTACTTATGTGTTTCAATGCTCTCGCCAGACGTTTTATAGATGGGAAGGTATAGCCGCATCCACAAACTTCTCGCCACCTCAACTATTATGCTACATTTCGAACATACCTTGCTCAGCATGTTTATCCACTGAAAACAAAGACATCAGAGATCAAAACTGACAGAACCAACGTGGCGTAGCGCATGCTCCGGCGAAAAATTGACATGACGCGTGCGCGCTATATAGCCTGCTGGAGAGGGCGCGTGCGCGATCGACCGCACGTTGGCTTTTTCGCTTGTTTTCACACCATATCTCTGGAACGCAGTCGTTTCAGGAAAATCGCCACATTATACCCATGTTCTCGTTGTTCACAACCTCTTGGTGCCACTCATTGGCCGATCGTAGCCTGTAGTGCAAGAACTCGCGCGGACAGACAGATAGCAGACCGATTGACCAGTACAGTAACCCTCGCTGCGCATGCGCGCCGAGGGTTAATTACTGAAGAGTCAGAACACCTGTACATTACTTGCTTCATGTGCTAAGGAAATGAGCCATATAACACCATAGACACAAAAGACACGAAAGAAGAAAGAAAAGAAAAGCCCGTTTCTCTATGGTTACACACTGGTCCCCAACACCCCACCCACTTACTCTGCCCTCTGACAGTTATCGCGCACCAGAAGTTACCACGCCCCCAGGGAGTTATCGCGCCCCCAGAAAGTTATTGCACCCTCTGAGAGTTATCGTGCCTCCTGAGAGTTAGAAAGTCATCACGCCCCAAGAAAGTTTTCGCCCCATGAAGTTGCGTTTATCGCCCGGCCAGAAAAGGTGTAGAATTTTGAAACAAATAGCATTCTAGTGCTGTGGAAGGATGTGCAGTAGTGCCACACTCTATCCTTGGCAATCCTTGGGTGTACTTAGTATTACAGGACCATCCCAAGTAGTACCCTTTATCTATAGCTACACCTGCCAGTCCTTGGATGCTTAGTATCCCAGGATTCCTGGGACCATCCCAAGTAGTCCCCTCTATCTATAGCTACACCTGCCAGTCCCTGGATACTTAGTATCCCGGGATTCATGGGACTAGCTATAGCTACACCTGCCAGTCCCTCGATACTTACAAGCATTGTTTCCTTGCTGGTGTATGTACATCCACTTTGAAGCCCCATTGTAAATCAGTCCAATGTTGTGCCAATGCCCCCCTCCATTGTGAATAGCTACTTTTTTTCTTTCTGAACTTTGTCACTGTTCCTGATCCAAATAGGGATGCTAAGCAAAGCAAAAGGCCAGGTTCTGAGGGTGTCAGCTGCACTTCATGTGCTACTTGTGATGTAGTGGGGGGATGATGGGAAGATAACCGTGGCTGGTGTTAACACGACCACACAAACGAAGGCCACTGTTGCTGTTATATATCAATTTTGTGGATGCTTGCTGCCAGCATGCAGCGTATGTTGCAGGTCGTGGCGATATTTAGGAAGAAATTGAAAGCCTCTCTTCCATAGGTTGGTGATAATCAATAGTAATAAGTATTTAAATACACGTTCTTATCAGACCAAACAACAACACCAAATAAACCCTACTGCAGCTCCCAGGTAAAAAGTTGCATCTCACTCCTTTGCTCACTGCATAGAAACTTCGAGGTCAAGGAAACGAGAGTGCAGCCCTTGCTGATATGCAAGAGATACAGGCAGCAGGGCTTGGCACCCTCGAGTCCGCTGAGAGAAAGAGGGGAACACCTATTGTAGGTTATATTACTTGAGACTTAAGAGTCAATTATTAGTGTGATGTTTTTCTTTTGTCAAGGAGGAAGTGTCAGTAAACAGTGTTGACGAGATGACTGTCTGTCAACCCTTGGTGTGTCACCTTCTGCATATCAAGCTGCATGTCTCAACTAATTGGTAGAAAGGCAAGGCAGGGCAAAGCAAACAAGTCAACTACACACATATCAGCTTCAGGAGATACTTCCTAGTAACACGTGAGAAAAACTCGTACCATATAGAAGGATCAAAGTATAAGCACGTTACCTCAGTTGGTTTAATTGCTCCAAACGTTAAGGAAAGCGGCTGAAGTTTATTCTTCTGCAATACCGTATAGCAGGGTATTTTCGTAGGGGTAAACGTTCGTACAAATCGTAAATGTCTATCACCTTCATATATTATCACCACTTCAGTTGAATTAGGGATGGTCCCAGGAATGCCGGGATACTAAGTATCGAGGGACTGGTAGGTAGCTATAGCTAGAGGGGACCTCTTGGGATAGTTCCAGGAATCCCGGGATAGTAAGTATCAAGGGACTGGTAGGTAGCTATTAGCTAGAGGAAACTACTTGAGATACTTGAGATAGTCCCAGGAATCCCAGGATTCTAAGTATCCAGGGACTGGCAGGTGTAGCTATAGCTAGAGGGGACTACTTGGCATAGTCCCATAAAATCCCTTGATACTAAGGATCCAGGGACTGGCAGGTGTAGCTAGAGCTACTTGGGATGGTCCCAGGAATGCCGGAATACTAAGTATCCAGGGACTGGCAGGTGTAGCTAACCTAGAGGGGACTACTTGGGATAGTCTCAAGAATCCTGGGATACTAAGTATACAGGGACTGGCAGGTGTAGCTATAGCTAGAGGGGGACTACCTGGGATAGTCCCAGGTATCCAGGGACTGGCAGGTGTAGCTATAGCTAGAGGGCACTACCTGGGATAGTCCCAGAAATCCCATGATACTAAGTATGCAGCGACTGGCATGTGTATAGCTATAGCTACTTGGGATGGTCCCAGGAATGCCGGAACACTAAGTATCCAGGGACTGGCAGGTGTAGCTAACCTGGAGGGGACTACTTGGGATAGTCCCAGGAATCCCGGGATACTAAATATCCAGGGACTGGCAGGTGTAGCTACAGCTAGAGGAGACCACTTGGGATGGTCCCAGGAATCCCAGGATACCAGGGACTGGCAGGTGTAGCTACAGCTAGAGGGGACTACTTGGGATGGTCCCAGGAATCCCAGGATACTGTAGGTATTGAGGTGTACTGTCCCAACAAGTGGTGCAAGATGCACTATCCCTTAGCTATCCTTTCAGGTCCCATATGTTTTTAATTCTGCACAGTAATGAATGGCACACAATATAGCAGATGCTAATTTATGACGTGCACCATATAAAATAAAAACGTATTTAAGGGGACAGAAAAATGGAGACATGTGTTGTTTACACTGCAGTAAATGTTCAGAGGTATATATGAGCTTCCAGAGGCAAACAATTCCATAGTCGGATGACAGTACAGAAGGAACTATAAAAGCATGAATTTTAAGAGAGTAAGGAGCATGAGGGTTGAAATTCCGAGTTGATGACATGATGGGGTGTACAATGTTCTGTTGTGGGAAATGCACTAGTCCATTTACAATACAATAAAATGTACATAATGACAAAAATAATCTTTTGTTTCTAAGTGATGGTACAAAAAATAGATCTAGCAAATTCTCATATGTTGCATGGTAGTCTTTGGCACACATCCATAGTGCAAATTGTTGTACCGTCTCTAAACATTGAATGTCCTTCTCCAGGTGAGGATTCCACACCTGTGCTGCGTATTCAAGATGCGGGCGAACTAGAGCAGTATACAGCCTTAAAATAATTCGTGAGTCGTTTCGTAATCCTGTGATAAATAGCGCCTAACACCCTTCTTGCAGATATATTAGAGCGTCGATAGACGCTGGCACGGCTCACATGATCCGCGTATAAAACGATAAAAAACTCGGTGAGAACAACTCCTTAGGTGTTCAAAACAAACTAGCAATAGAGTCTTTGGGCGCATATCTACTTATACATGTTCCCAAAGACCTCGTACCTTCAGTCGCAAGAAATCGCTCATACGGGATTTCACGATTTTCGTGTCATCATCATAATTATTCTTCTTTAAAGCCGCTATCTCCTTACCAGTACCAGTTGAAGAGCTGATTTTTTCACTGAACGTCTCCAATTTCGCTGGAGGTGTGCACGGACATCAAGCGATCATTTTTTTATTGCCGCAAGTCACTACGGTAGATCAAGGAACTCTTTCATGGTCGACACTGAACAACACCTATTGCTGCTAACTCAGACCCGCATGCATGCGCCAGGCAGGGGCGCTGTCCAATGTGCTGTGCGAGTTGACAGACCTGCAGAGGAACTCTCAGCCTCCAGTGCGGTATTACTGGAGCCTTGCGGGGCGCTCAAATGGGCCTTCATTGTTTGTCCCCCTTCAGGCACTATCAGTCCATTAGCTACTGCTTTGGGTTAGAGTTTGGGTAGCCTATCTACAACATAACCATGAACATCACATTAACTGTAACAATAAAATGCAGTGTTGTCATAAGCTTTTAAATATCACACAAAGATATAGGGATGGTGTCATGTAGCTTTGTACATCTTTGCTGTGTACTGACCCCTTGTTTCTTCCTTTCTGGTGCTTCAAGCCATCCCTATATCCCCCTTCATTTTGAAGAAATGACTTTTCCACTTGTTACTAAGTATACTCCCAAGGATTGCCCATGAGAGAGTGTGGCAGTACTGGACATGTATGGCGCTGTGGGTACTAATAGATTTACCCTTGTCTCAGTTGACTGTCTTCCCACAATGAATTTTTGTGGGCATATTTTACTAAGTGGACTAATGACATAATGATAAATGCCCTGACCAGAAAGTGGAAGCGAAAAGTGGAACCGAAAAGTGGAACCGGATACTTGCTGCACAGATGGATCATGATCGGAGCTAGCCAGGTGCCCACAAAATATATGCGCGAGGGAGGGAGAGAGAGAAGGGTCTGGTAAATAACTATGCCTCTCCACGGGCCAAGGAACTTCAGCAACCACATATGTCGAGTGGTTGCGGTTACACCCAACTGTGATGAATATCATTATGCGCTATAACACTAACACACGTGCGAGCACACACGTAGACTTTCTGCTTTTTGACGGATGGACGGTACTTGACTCAAAAGCTCGTGGACCCCTGCAAGACTTGTGGAGGAAGGTAGGAAGACTCGCAAAAAACATCTTTCCAGTCACACAAACGAGCTTCTTACATGGGGCTGTAGAACTGCAAAACCAACTGCTTCAACAGCTTTGTCGATCGCTTGCTCTAGCTCCATTACTATAAAACGTGACGTTCCATTACACACACATTTTGACGGACACGCAGTGCTGTCCGGATTCTGTGCGGTTAGTAATTGCATACCAACACCTTTTTCAGCATTCCAGCCTTGGCCCGTGGAGGCATAGTTACTTACCAGACCCTTCTTTCCCTCTCTCGCGCATGCGCTTACGCGTGCGCATATATTTTGTGAAGGGTCCGGGCACCAGACGGGATCGGAGCCGGACCTCGTCTACGACGCTTGCCACCCGGATGGATCATTGTCATCTAGGCCTAGGGCTCGGGCATCGACAGACTCAACCAATCGATGCCCTAGTCCGAGCCCTTGACGAGATCCGGCTCTGATCATGATCCATCCGGGTGGCAGGCATCCTAGACGAGGTCCGGCTCCGGTCATGATCCATCCGGCGGCAAGCAAAGTAAGGTGCGAATAAATAGTATATACTGGCCTAAAGAATGCTGGTAATAGACATACTCCACTTTGACCCCTTTTGCCCCATGCTCTCACCCAAAAATAAGCACCTCCCTCACAGGCCCAAACAACCGCCCGGGAAACCAAAACCTGCGTATCTTTTTCTCACCTTAACCGCTCGTTCTTTGACTGGGTCTCTGTAACCAGGCCGACGGTCCCCAACACAGCTTTGAATGTGATGCTTGAGGGGAAACATACTTACACATACGCAGATCCCAGGAGGCGAATTCACCCTTGGAGAACGCTCTTTTTTCCCCTGTAGACGTATGCACAAAAGGCGGGCAATGTATAACAAGGACTAGACTATAACCGATATCGTGACTGCAGAATATATCGCTTCCTGTTATACCCATGATCATCACATCCTTAACCTAGCTCTGTGTTCGTGCCTATAACTTGCTTATGGTGGTTGCTGTGCCGGTCATCCGTGTCTTGTCAACGCCACGTGCATCCGTAGTCCGCGGACTTTGGTAGGCGGGGCCCCGTATCTACGCACTGAAGAACGGATTCTTCAGCTACCAGACGCTCCTTTCCCCTTGTGAGTGGAGCGACTGGACACGAGCTATTTTATTGCCTGAGGCTGTTTGTTGCTGTTTGTTGCTGTTTACAGACTTGGTAATTCTTGCACATCAGTATTGAGGTCGCAGCCTCCGAGAACGGCTGGTATTCTCCCGACTATGGTCGTGCGTGCACGATCACAAAATCTTCGTATATTATTATAGCGATCCCGATAGCGATCCCGACTCAAATTGGAGCCCTCGTTGGAGCCCAGCAGGCAGAGCGGAGAGGTTCTGAAGCTTCATGTTTCTCCGCCCTTTTCGTGTAAAGTCTAGGTCAGCGCTTAAAGTAGCCGAAAGGTTAGCCTGCGTGTAGCTAGGGGGTGTGCATGATTATGATGAGACTGTGCAGTTGGCAGCTATGCATGAGAAGAGAAATGTCCATGACCATTCTCCTTTACTATTAATGCCAGGGATAATTTTTAGCATTAATTATGACAATGAATACACAAAAATTGGGTGGGGATGGTGTGTTGGACGTTGTGGTTGACTGTGGAGCTTTGAAACAAGATAGGTTTCTCTATTGCATGGCCGCATCTACCCTACAGAAATTGTTTCACATGTGACCTATAAATATCTATACAAATACATGAACATGAAGTGATAGCCAGTCGTTCTCTATTGAGAGGTGCTGTTTTGAACTTAGGGTTAACTACGTAAATATCACTAAGTACGGGGATTGACATGGTACCTAGCATCATAGATGTATGGGGCTATGATAGGGAGTTTTGTTCATCTTCTTCTTCTTCCTGTTCAACCAGCATAACTCAAAAACCGAAAGAGATAAAGCCGTGAAATTTTGTAGGAATGTACATATCGATAACCACATGGGCAACGTCATACTTTTTGTAAACAATGTTGTTTACTGTAAACAACTGAAAATGTGCCCCAGGCAATATGGACATACATGTGTTAGTGTAATTCACATTAATTGTAAGAGCTATGTGAACGAAACTTTGTATACATAATGTATTCAATACCCAACATCAAAAACACAACAATACATATTTATAAACAACAACAAATAGCCTCAGGCACTTTTCTTTAAATTTACTTCTTCACGTCTCAAACACCTTAATGGTAGGACGCATAGAGATGAAACTTGGTACGTATGCCTATTGTATCATTACCATGACAACTACATGTTTCCATGACGACCGCATACTTTTTGAAGAAACCTCAGATGATTATCTTTATAATGAAAAGCACTAAAGTGCAAACCCTCGGCGAAGTAGCTCGCAGAGAGTCTGACATGGGCTAGCTACAGTAGTAGATAGCACGCGAGAGTCGATACACGCCATTCGTTGTGACTTCTTGTGCCTTCAAGACAGGCGGACCCCGCCGAGGTAAGCCTGTGCTAAATATAAGCGCATGCGCATTATCCCCCAGCGATAAAATGGCGACTACCGGCATTAGCCATACAATGCTGGAAGCGCTCTAGCTCTGCAACGGAGCATTTTCAGAGAAAACCCCACATTTGCTGACCTTCGTCGCCCGTTGGGTAGATGGTATCGTTTCTGGGACGAACAGACATTCGAGAGGTGAGATGTAGAGTAACAGATAGACACACAGACAAACCCAACTACTGTAACCCTCGCTGCGCATGCGCGCCGAGGGTTAATTACTTCTTCACTCCTCAAACTTGCTAACTGTAGCATGTATGGAGGTGAAACTTGATACACATACGTATTAAACTGTTTCCATGACAACCACAACACAAAGTAGCCTCAGGCACTTTACTTTTAAATTTACTTCTTCACTCCTCAAACTCGCTAACTGTACCACGCATGGAGATAAAACTTTGTGCGCATGTGTATTACATCGTTTCCATGATGACCACAACAACAAATAGCCTGAGGCACTTTTCTTCGAATTTACTTCTTCACTCTTCAAACTCGCTAACGGTACCACACATGGAGATAAAACTTGGTACGCATGTGTGTAACATGGTTTCCACGACGACCACAACAACAAATAGCCTCAGGCACTTAATCTCTTCTTCACTCCTCCAACTTGCTAACGGCAGCACACATGGAGGTGAAACATGGTATGCATATCATTTCCATCACGACAACAGGCATTTTTTCTCTATTATTAATTTTTATAGGGGCTTGCCCCCTTCCACAGAGATAATACGTACCAGTATATAAAAATGAGTGGAGACAAGTAAATTAAAAATCCTGCGAATTTTAAAAAAGAGGCATATAGGGATGGTATAAAAGAAGGGAGACA